AATTCTATTTAGAATAATACAGAGTGCAAGCTCATTCATGCTCAATTTTTGTGAGTTTAAGAATTAAAATGAACTTGAAACTTGATTTTTCAAGAAAATGTGATTCACTTGATTTTTCAAGAAAATGTGATTCACTTGATTTTCCAAGGAGTAGCAGAAGGAACACCAAAAATTAAAATTTGTAGAACTCGCGTGGTATCCTATAACTTTGTAACCATCCGATCAACGATACTATACTCATCACAATGAAGACAAAGTGTCGATCAAATGGGAATCCGAGCTTATTGTTCAAAGACCAAGACCAAAGCATTCCTCCTAACGCGGGTCCAACAGCACGAGCAAGGCTTGCTGATGTTTGTCCTATTCCATTTACGGTGCCAAGAACGTCCGGTGAAACAGAGTTTGTAACCTGTGTGTTGAATTAGAAATATTTCCTCAGACAAATAGATGCAATTTCCCAATAACTAATAAATATCTACATACCAGAATCGTAACACATGTAAACACGATAACATTCATAAAGTAACGAATAGCCAATGTTACTAGTAGTAAATACCAAGCTATACGCTCATTCGTTAAATTTCCCTTATCATGGCACACGAAAATACCCCTCTCCAATTCAAAATAGCAATTGAGTGACTGCTTAAGAGTATTTATTAATGGGAAAACTATGTAAAGAGGGATATAAAGGAACCACGTAATTTGAAACAGTCGCGCGGGATCTACTTTTCTACTGAGCGTCGGGAAAATTACATATTGACAGAATAAAGTCATGACACCCATAATAGACAAACTGAGCGCAAGGTCTTGAGATCGATAGCCAAGACCACCATCGGAAACTGGAGTTACTGCAAATATCGTGTACACCTCGTCAAAGATTATCGAAAAAGCTATCATAGCATAGGAAATGAGCGGTGAAATAGCAGGAGATATATCGCGCAAGAGACGACTAAATGTTCGGTTATCAGTTGGCGTTACTATGGGAATATCGTTACTTTTCTTGCTTGATGTTGAATTACTGTCAGTGACACACATTCCTCCATTATATTTCCCTACAATAGCTCCATTACCAGGATTATTACAGTCTATCTCCTTATAATCTTGCTGCTCGTCTGTTTTACCATTGAGAGGACTAATAGCGCCATATGAAGATGAAGATTCGACATCATCCGAATGATTATTATGTTCCTTATAAAGTAACGGTTCACTCTCAGAATTGTATTTAGATTCCTGTTTAATATTACGCGTTTCAGGCAACATGAAATATCCGACTACAAATCCAGTAGCTGAAACCGACGATGCAACGAGACACGGCAACAAATATGGGTAATATCTCCAAAAGTCATTCCCAAAAATATTTGGAAAATGATCAGCAGGATGTGACAAATAACCACCAACGGTTGGTCCTAAATACACAAGAGATTATGAAGAGAAATTAAAGCTTGAAAAATATTTCATGTATATTCACGAGCATGACTACTTACCAACTTTATTATCAAATAAAAA